CTATTTATTATGAAAAGAGAAATTTTGCCTGAAAAGGTGAAATTATCCTTTAACCTCTTCCCCATAGTTTATAGATGGCAAATGGGAATCGTTGGCGATGCAGTCTCATACCTGTACATCAACCCGCATTGGCATCTCCTGTGTGGCTCACAGAGTGCAGACCCAGGAGCCCAGCAATCAGTATATCGCCTGGACACAACGGATCACATTATCGCTGTGTCCGGGCAATCACATGATGTTTTACCATGGTTTACATTTGGGGCTTTTCCATTCCACAATTCATATGGAGTTTACTCAGTTGAAAACTGAGATCTCTGTGAAATAAGACAGTAAATAAAACCTTCTCCTATTCTTTCTGATTCAATTATTTTCCAATTAGCTGATTTTTTTCTGTTTTACTCTGGTCAAGGTGTGTACAGAAATGTCTGTCATTTGTCATGTGACTCAGAGCTCCTGAATCAACACACCATGTCTGAAAAGATGAGGTGCTACTTTTGGATTGCAAAACATATTCATTATCTGAATAAAAATCTGTTTCTTCCTTCACACTTTTGGACTTTTTTAATTTTGTTTGTTTTTGCATTCTAGCTTTCCAGTTTCTGCAATCTGCTTTTAAATGGCCTTGTTTCTTGAATACAAACATTCACGTGTTTCTTGTTGCATTGTTGCACTGTTTTTATTAATCTTTTTTGTCTTTAAAGCAGTCTCTGTGACAGAGGCACTGTTACTATTAATACTTTCTGTTTTATGCTTATATTCATCCATAAGCTTGCACTTAACATATTCCATGTAAGTTCATAGTCTGGACATGCATCAAGCGCTGTGACAAGCGATTCATAACTTTCTGGTAAACCACTAAGTAATAGTGCTGCGATATGAAAATATTTTATTTCTTCTCCTTTACCTCGCCGATGTTCAACTTTCTGGTCTTTATCCACTTATCTGAAAGGTGTTCTCCACTGATCTGAAAGGTGTTCTGGCCTGATTCCATTTCATACATTTTCACATACCTTCTCTTATTTGCAGCATTTTCATCTTGAATACCAAGACTGGTAGTTCTGGCTTGCCAGATTTGCAAATAAAGCTTTGTTGCAGCTGTGTTACTGGCCAATTTCTTTTATTCTATTGCAGGTTTCTTTCTGTTGCTGTATGTTGCATTTGTTTCGCTGTAGCAGACTATGACTGAGTATCTGGGCTATGCCTGGGACCATAACCTATTGGAGATTCTATATACAGCCCTACAGAAAGGGGGTGCATAGTCCATATGTGTTTATCTGCTGCTTCTCTGCACACAGGAAACAGGAACTTTATTACACAGAAAAGACACAGAGTTTAACCACAGAGATCAGCTACAAACGTATAAATGCTGCCATCTACTGGCCAATATAGTTGTTGCACAAAATACATAAACGCTGTATTCCAACAGCTAGTCTCAATTATAATGTCTAAGGCTATGGTAAATGGCTTGTTGGGGCAAGCAAAAGAGAATTATTAGAATTAAGGTCAATTTTCTCCTTTATTCTCCAGATGTGTAAAGGAAACATGTATGGATGCAAGAAACTCAGTGGAAACTGCATATAAGAGAGGGCCCCCCTTTTGTGTTATATCTGCCAAGTTCAAATATGTCATATATGCAGCCATTTGCACAGATGCTGGCACTAGTCTTACTATACAGCACTGAAATCTTGCTATGAATTGGTCAGCTAACACAACCCTAAGAAAGATCAAATAATTGGCTATTCAACGGATTGCTGAATTAAGTTAGGCAAGAATTTTTCTCCTACCCCAGTTGTGATGGTGGCACTGAATGGTTTTTGATACTTACTTTATATTAATTCTCATACTATTGTGTAAAGTCATGTATTACATGTTATATTATTGACTATATAGCCATTAATATGACTTGTTGCTCAATCAGGTGAATATATTTTTGCAGTATATTGTAGCACAGCAATGAAAATAATATAGAAAGAAATAAGAAATATTCCCCGTGCTACCAAAAAGAAAATAATTTACATTACTTTAAAGCTGGAACATGGGATAAAGAAATATTATTTTAATATAAGAGGTATGTGTATTCATACTTGAATCTTGGTGTGCTTTGTACATTTTTTGTGCAGTAATTTTATATGAAACTTTATCTCTGTGCAGGAGCTCCTGTAATAAAGACTGGTCACTGCTGCTCTCTGTCCTTGTGTAGGGTGACTGGTCTTGTGTCCACCCTTTCATGTAGTTTTCTTCAGGCAACCTATAGTGGGTGGAGCATGCTGGGTCCCCCTTACAGGACTGCACTTTGTACAGGCTATGTGCAGAACAATGATCATGCCAATGCTACGTTTATATGGTAATATCCAGGTTTGCAAAGCTATTTGTTGCACTAAAATTGGATGCATATCCTATCTGGCTATTGAGAAATATTTTTACATGTGGAGCACCTTACCTAATTCTTCATAGTGAGTCTAGATCAGGGGTGGGCAAACTTTTTGACTTGAGGGCCGCAATGGGTTCATATATTGGACCCGGGGGCCGGACCAAGAGTAGATGAATGATGTGTATGTGTGAATTAATATAAATTAAATTAAAATTTGTAAAATTTCATCCCCCATAGTACTATTCCCCCCCAAGTAGTAAGCCAAGTCCCCCCTGTGTCAATTTACTGACCTTTGCTCCACGCGTTCCTCTCGCCGTGTTCCCACGCCGTTCCGGTCTTCAGGGCGGACTGTGAGAGGAGCCTAGCTCCCCTCACGTTCGTCACGCTGCCCCGCCTTCACTCATCCTGACAGCCAATCACTGGCTATCAGGATGTGAGTGGCAGCGAGACTGGCCAATCATTGCATTTGAGCGCGCTGAATGATGCAAATGTTTGCCTGCCCTGGCTGTTTTTTTTTTTGTATCACGCTCCGCGGGCCGGATTAAAAGGTCCGCCGGGCCGTAGTTTGCCCATTCCTGGTCTAGATATACAGTAAGAATGCTTGAAAATTTATTGGGGGAATCTAGATTTCATTAATAGTGACTTTGCCTGTCAGGTGAGAAGAAACCTAGTGAAGTTTGGATTATATTCAAGAAAACCGCCCTCACTGATCTTCTAAAAACTGTGTGGCCTATGAGAGCCAGATCCAGCCAGCTCTGCAGATGCAAGCCTGTGTGTCTGTGCATAATTAAGTATTTTTATGTTCCTCATTTTTCAGAAAGTCCCCTAAAAGTGGGCAGCACAGTGGCTAAATGGTTAGCACTTCCACCTGGCAGTACTAGGGTTGTTGGTTCAAATCCCAATCACCTGTCTGGAGTTTGCATGTTCTCCCTGTGCCTGCATGGGTTTCCTCCCACACTCCAAAGACATGCTGGTAGGTTAATTTGATCTTGACTAAATTGGCCCTAGTATGTCTATGTATGAATGTAAGTTGGGGGCTTTAGATTGTACGCCCCCTGAGGGTTAGGGACTGATGTGAATGTACAATATATATGTAAAGCGCTACGTAAATTGACAGCATTATATAAGTACCTGAAATAAATAAGTAAACATCTTAGTAAAAAAATTACAATGTAAATAAGAGTGTAAAGGGGATTCCCGCTGTCTTCATATTAAATTCTGCTGAACCTGAGGTGAGATATTCCAGCAGAATGTTAGATACCATATCAATGCACTTTTTTATGACCTGGATTTGTAACAAAGCGTTGTCAGTTTTTCACTGTTGTTTGGGGCTCTTTCCAGTAGTATCACAGACAAAAACAGGAATGCTTCTCTTTAAGTAGAGTAGCAGGAAGGCTACTACCACTGTTACATTTTTAATTTTGTTGAGAAATTCAAATCCTTCCTCATTCTATCCAAAACCAGGGGCGGACTGACCATTTGGAAACTCGGGCACTGCCCGAGGGCCTGGGGTCAGTAGGGGGCCCCATGAGATGCCGCTGGTACCTTTTTCATAGGCTTTTTTGAGTTTGGGCAAGGACACAGGGGCCCCATGATCCCCTATTGCCCGTGGGCCCCATGAGTTGTTAGTCCGCCCCTGTCCAAAACTAAAACAAAGTTTTTGACTAGACATACACTTTCAAGCCCAACTCCATATTTGGAAGAAAATAAAAAAAAATCAGTGGCCCAATATGGAAAAAAAACCAGTTCCAGCTGCAATATTCACCTGCACTGTGGTGATGTGCCGCAAAGACTTACTGCTTCTCCATCCAGCAAAAATCATCATGAATGATGCCCAGCATCATCCAGCCTACTTCTTGTGAGCCCAGACTGTCAAGATATACCCCCTGGAAGGACATCATCTTGCCAGCCTGAGCTTACAGTATTCTGGGACATTGTGAGGCTCTCAAATTATTACATGACCACTGCGCTGTACCTGAGAAAGAATCGCCCACTGCTGCCACTGGAGGAGAAAAGGAAGGATCCATGATGTTGGCAGACTTGTAATTAAAAGGAAAAAAAACAGTAGCAGAGGAGGTTTCAGGGAGGTGGGAGGGAGGTGGGAGGGTTGGGCAAATGGGAGTTGAACTTTAACCACTTCAAGTCCAGACACTTTTACCCCCTTCCTGTTCAGGCCAATTTTCAGCTTTCAGCTCTATCACACTTTGAATGACAATTGAGCGGTCATGCAACACTGTACCAATATGAATTTTTTAGCATTTTTTTGAGACAGATAAAGCTTTATTTTGGTGGTATTTATTCACCACTGGGATTTTTTGTTTTTGCTACATAAATGAAAAAGTCCAAAAAGTTTGAAAAAAAGTGTTTTTCTTATAAAATTTTGCAAATAAATAATATTTCATCATAAATCTTGGCCAAAATGTATTCAGTTATCTTTTTAGTAAAAAAAAAATAACCCTAATTAGTTTATAACCAAAAATTATAATTAAAAAAAAATATTTTACATTTTTATTTTATTTTTTTATATTATTATTTATGGGGTTTTTTTCTACATACTGTCACCCTAGCAGTACAGTGTCACCATGGTGACACTGTACTACTTGTGGGGGGGGTGATGAAGATTTTTTTATTTTTTACACTGATTGCTTTTACACCCATAAAGGCTGTAAAAGCAATCATTTCTCCATCTCTCTGGCTGCATTCTTGCAGCCATTGAGAACTACTGTGTTAGCTGTGATTGGTCACAGCTTGTCACATGGTACAAGGCTGTTGTGAATGTGTTGTGATTTCACACGTAGTAAGCAATGATGTCAGAAGTGACATCTTGCTTACTACTCTGCATGTGATCACTGAGATTGGCCAATCAGTGATCACATGATCGGGACCTCACACAGAGGTCCCGTACGACGATCAGTGTTCCAGAGGACACAGCGGGCACCGGATCGCGGTGCTGCACGCTCCCAGGGAGCGCGCACAGTCCAGAATGGCGGGTGCCGTTTATGAATGGCAACCCTCCCCTGGACTGCCACCGTCCTGCCGTTTATATACAGTGGCCGGACAGCAAGTGGTTAAGGGAATTTCTCATGAAGAAAAATACTGATCTCAGGAGCCTAGAATGGAAACGGGTATTCCCTAACTCATAGGCCAGAAATTAAACTCATCTAGATTCCCTGTGAGTGCAGTCATTGTCCTTCACCTTTGCCCTGCATGCTATTGCCCAAATTCATTCCAATGGGACTACCATATCCATGGTAACTTCCAACAATCATGGTCATGAAGCCAGGCAGGTGTAGGCGTTCTCCACTTGCCTGGATGCCAGTGAGGAGGTATCTCATGTGAAAGGCATCCTAGGTCACACAGATTTATATAATTTTCACTTTTTGTGGTTATTACTACTTTTGAAAGATAACAATAACAAATCATAAAACCACCAAGTTAACCCATCCCATCTCTTTTGGAAATTAAGTATAGCCAGTTTTGGACTATCCAGATACAGGGCAATATAAAAGGAATTTACACACAGGAGATGAGAAACCCATGAAGGCAGGATATAGTTAATAGAATAAAATCCCTTATATTGTGAAGGAAGGGCATTGAGAAAAATCCCTTGTGGACTCTAGTTGGCTTCTTAGGCTGGTATCTGCAGAGCAAGTTACATATAATGTTTTAACATATGAGTTGGTTTGTCCATATACTTACCACATATCTACACTCACAAATGAAACACTGAGAGAGTCACTACATCTAAAGTAAAGAATTACCGCTATGTAATTACTACAGTTGGAATATGTTACTAGTATGTAGAACATCAACCATGTGGTAAATTATATGTAAGACACTTTTTCTGCAACAAATATTACCAGCCTTGTAATGCATTTCTGTCTTTTATGGGGTGTGAGTTTTATTGGAGAAAAACATTAACATAGATTTTAAAAGATTGGAATTTGCATTTTTTCCTATCATTGAATCTGGAGCATTTTTGTTATCACTGTTACTGGCTTATTTTTTCTTCACACTGACACTGGGTCATTTCTTCTTACCTCTTGTGGCCTGGGGGTGACGTATCCTTGCCAAACACAACAAGCTGTGGGCAGGGTCACACTCCCTGCACATAGGGTACCTTTTTTGTGCACATGCTCATCAATGCCCAGGGACCAGGTGGAGATGAAATCAACCTCAAGGCAGTTCCCCCACTTAGAGATGAGCCATGCACCACGTGCAATGATCTGTCTTGTTCCAGTAAAACATGCTGTCCCATATCATTACACAACTTAACTAAGAACTGTTTAGGAGGGACACCACTGTGTCATCTTCATCCAGCGTACCTCTGACACCTCACTTCCAGTGACAGAATGGGTTTCCACCATGCACCTGTGCAGACCTCATGCATGCACTTAGTTAACTCCATAACGGGGGTTTGGTTCTGGTCACTACCGACAGAAAGGGATTGAGTCAGAACACTGAACCCCCTTGCTACCGGAGGACACCTCACCTTACCCAGGTACCATGGTTCATTATTCTATTCCTTCCCTCCTGATGCTGACTTAACCCTTGATAATGGACTTGCTCTGTACCCTGTATGTGCCTTTACTGACATAAGTTTTTTTTACACTAGGAACCTTCATGCACCCCTTCAAAGTAACTTCAGACCAGGCTTTGGAAACAGTTAAACGAACTTTACTGAGAACGTTCAAGAATTACAAGTGCAAATCTAGTGCATTACATCCCTAGCTAACTACTCTTGTGGCTGCCCAGGTATACCTTAAGGAGGTGTAAGTTTTGACTGGCAAGAGTCCATCAGATGGTTGTTCTCTGAAACCCAGTGTGGGTGGACTGCGGGATGCAGCAGTTCCGCACCGTAGAGCATGGTGTCAGAGCGTTTTGACCAAGGAGAGCTAGAGTGTCTCTTGTGAAGTAGCTGGAGATGTCTTCTTTCCATGCAGACTGCCCATGAGCAGAGCCTCCAATGTGGCCCAGGATATTCAAAAGGTTGGACACCCCTGCTATACAATCTGTTGCATGTTAATAATCCTGACCTGCTGGAACATTGGATATGGTGTACATTACATTGTGCCAACCACTGTATTCTGTAAGCTGTGTTGTACACAACTTATTCTTGACCAATGTCTTTATTGTTTAAACAGTTTCTGGTTGTCATGTACTTTCTATTTGTTTAAATGTAGCTGTTCTTTATGGAAAACTCAGGAAAAAAGCTGGCTGTATATTCTGTTTTAATTTTAAAAATGATCCTTTAGATTTATATGCATCTGTGAGACTTTAACTCATAGCACAGTAAGTAATAGGTATTCTGTGGGTGCAAGGACTGTGGCAAATGGATGCAATGTATACTTTGAGTAGGCTTAGGCCCTACTTACCCTTGCCCCTGTGGGCCACATCTAATATTCAGCACATTGTAGCTATTGTGGCGATTGGACGCGGACAACCATTTTGTTAAAGATCTACCATCTTGTATCATACTCTGCAAATATCATTCTCTCTCCCTCCAGCCCCCTCCCTTTGCAAGGAATGTGGTCTGTGTGTGTGCGCTGAGTTCAGGAGTGCACAGGGCACAGATGGATACACTTCGTGGTTGTAAACCCAATTAGCTGGTTCCAGGATGTCTGTCAGACTCTTGCCTGGTCGTAAAGCTATAAATCAGTCCATCACTGGACATGAAAAGCATTCCAGAACGGCAGTATATACATCCCACTTGAAACCACTTTTCCATACAAATTCATAAATCCAGACAGGAACAAGGGTACAATAAAACAAAGCATATATTCAGATAGGTCAGTTTAATATGAAACACCTGATACCTTACACCCCTATGTGGCACCTACACAAGAGTAGAAAGCAATATGTCTTTATCTGGAACGGTAAGATATGTCATATTTGATGTCTGGACATTCAGGATATCATTCTGCATATTAATCTACCAGTGGCTAGGCTGCTACATGTACCTAGTGAAGGTTATTGACCATGGTATAAACGTGGGAGGGATTTGGTCATAGCCTGAGTCCCCGCCTAAACACCCCTCCCCAAATGAGGTGATTGGTTCTCTGCTTTAAGGAGACACCCTGCTGGGTCCCTAGAAAAAAGACTGTCATGCCTGGAGAGAGGGATGAAGAGATTCTCCCTTTTAACATCAGGAACCAACTTTGGGAGAAAAGGCACCCTTTTGTTCAGGACATTTGGACTCTGCTTAAACCAGGACTTCTGCAAGTATTCTACCTTCTTAAACTTCTTTGTTTACCTCTCTGTTGTGTTATTGCTCTATTTATATATATATATATTGATTACATTCTTTCTGTAAATATTTTTATTGCACCATTTTGACCTTTTTAGTAATAAATCCTATTTTCTGAAAAGTGTTGAACTGTTTCTAAAGCTCTTTAATGCAAATTAAGAATCCCTGTCTCTGAAGAGTGCTACTGTGTTTTTTAAAACCTCTGGATACATCTGTCTGCGGTGGCGGTGTGTATACAGACACATATTCAAACATCATTGTGTTACTGCTAAGATTTGTGAGTTTCCTCTTTCTCTGTAAAAAGGTGGTGGTGGCAGTGTGAAGGGTTAATTGCGTAATTAACCTGACCCTGTAACAATCGCTCTCAGGCGGCTGGCACATAGATTGTGGTCCAGTGAGCTGCAAAATCTCTGTGCAGGGTGCAGCTGAGAGTGGCATTGTTACGCAAGTGGCAGCTCGGTTTTAGATTGGCTAATCCTTCAGTCACAAGTTGGTGAGAAGGGCTGGGATCTGACACCACACCCATCAGAGCCATGACCACTTTTTGCTGTGGCTCTTTGCACATACCACGTTTTTGCTCCCCTTCAGGGTGTCCCTCTTTCTCAGGTTCTAATGTCGGGAGATATGATCTTCTTATCCATTGTAGTCTAGGAAGACAACGCTAACATAACAGTGACAATGCTTTTCTGAATTCAGGAGCAGTGCAGCATTGTTTTCACACATCACAAAAAGTTGCACTAGGTGGACTTCACTAGCAGGCTCAACAGGTATTTTTGGAAATCTACTGGGGATCTAAGAAAAACAGTAAGTGCAGATTCACTTATAATTAAATGCTGCAGCTCATATTTTTATGTGGCAGACAATAGTACTACTTTAACCTCCCTGGTGGTCTGATTATGTCCACATTTCTGTGCTCAAAGCGGTACATTTTTTTGCATGGAAATATATATTTTTTTTATTGTAGGCCTGTAATTTTTAGGAATAACTCACTGAAATCTGTCCAAACAAAAGTCTAGTAAACATCCCCGGTATGTTACAATTTGAAACACGAAATCATAAATTATAATTTAATTAATAATCATAAAAAAAAAATAATAATATAATAATAATAAATTTAATTCAATAATATAATCAAGCCAAAAACACTGAAATTTGAAATATAGCTCCAAGTTCGCACATCACTAAGCAAAGTCACAAAATCGTTTTCAGTGTCTGATGACGAATTTCCCCACGAATCATTATCACTCAATTCTGCAAGTGGTTCTGATTTACTATCACTGTTCTCTAGCTGGTCTAAAACCACTTTTGACCTAAAGGGACGCTTTTTGGACACCGTGGACGTTTCTCAGTTTCCAGGCAGAAAGAACAGTAAAAATGCAGGCAGGGCACAGGACAAAGCACTAGGGACAAAATGTATGAGAAATGGTTTGATACAGTAATGTTTTACTATGTGATTTTTAGTGTATTTAGTGAATGTCACCTTTTGTCATTTTAAAATTTCCCGCCGTTCCGTCCCCATACGTCCCAACGCTCGCAGGGGACGGAATCCAGATGACAGATGATGGCATTACAGGACATTACAGGGGACACTGCTGCAGGAGGGACATCGCAGGAGCGCAGGACAATTTAAGTATAGAACAGATCCCGGAGCAGTGCCGCATGGTAAGCCCGAGTGTAGCTCGGGGTTACCGCTTGTGGTACTGAAACTTTACCCCGAGCTACACTCGGGAATACCTCCAGGGAGGTTAAAAGACAATTTCACCAAAAATGTTCCTTAATTTAACATGCAGCCCGTGACTTAGGGAAAGATAGTTTGGGTTTAATGAAAGAATTTGAAAAGTGAGCAATGAATGGAGGAGGGAGAACTTTCATTCATCTACCCATCCTCCATTCCTAGAGTTCTTTTCATTTATGGAAGCTATAGTACAGCTTCTATGAATGGTAGGAGGGCAAAAAGAAAGAGCATAGTCAGCACTCATGATGAGTGTCTGTCACAGGTCTGTCTGCTATATTAACCCTCACAGCAATGGAAGATGACAACGGTGGGGGTAGGGGGTGCTGGAGGATGGAAAGATTTTAGCAGTGTGCTTACAGTGATGCACACACCCAGGGCTATATTCTGAAACAGAATACAGTTAACCCTATGATCGCCCCTCATGTTAACCCCTTCCTGCCCAGTGCCATTAGTACAGTGTCAGTGCTTTTTTTTTTAGCACTGATCACTGTATTGGTGTCACTGGGGATGTAAGTGACACCAAGTCAGTTCCCCCCCAGTGTCAGAATGCCCTCTGCAGTCCCGCTATAAGTCAATGATCGTCGTCATTACTAGTAAAAATTAAAAATTAAAAAAAAATTCCAGTATCTATACTGCCATTTGTAACCGCTATAACTTTCACGGAAACCAATTAATGTACACGTATTGGGATTTTTTTTATAGCAAAGACATGTAGCAGAATACATTTTGGCCTAAATTTATGACGAAATTTGATTTTTTAAATTTTTTTACTGGACATGTTTAAAGAGCAACAGTATTGTTTGCTTGGGTCACAGTGCAAGTGCCTACACATGGGTTAGGAGGAACTTATCTTCAGCATTCCAATGCCGGACCTGTGCCCCAACATGCTGGCCAGCATTTGTCATTATGGGGTACTACGTGTAGATTAATGAAAAAATATTAATTTAAACAACTGTAGCATGAAGCTGCAACATAAAAGTGAAAAAAAACAATGGAGGTCTGAATACTTTATGAATGCACTACTATATATACTGTATATACAGGGGTTAGACAAAAAATGGAAACACTACATGATTTGCAGGTGTGGAAGTGATGACGTGTTTCACGTTGAAAGTGGAAGTGATGTAACATTTTTTTGCTTCCACTGTGTGATGAGACACCTAGCTAACATGTAGGAATCCTCACTTTTATCATTCATAATATGAAGTCATGTCAGAGCTTACTGAGCTTCAAAGAGGGCAAATTGTTTTTTTTTTTTTTCGTCTAACCCCTGTATATTCTCACAATAAATATCCCATCTTCAGCCTGGGTGTGCCAGAGAGTGTGGTGCTGCTTTCAGAGCCATGGTCACTGGTTAAAGGGGACCCTTGAAAATAGTGCCTCCTTCAGGAAAGCACAACAGTAGCCCAATAACATTTATGACACTAATACCATTTGGTCTGCATAAATGATAATAATGCAACTACATGTGACAACAAAAATTTCCCTTTTGCTCTATAAAATGGGGAAGTAGTCCTGATGGGTGGTGTTCTGACTTATCTGTACATAATTTCCCCAGCGCTGATGATTCCTCTTTTTCCAAGCCACAACGGGTCTGTCTGCATTGTCGCACGCCATGTTTCCCTGTCACAGTATTCTTTTATTCTTTTCTGTGGTATACAGTATATCACAGATGAAACATAAACCACTGAAACATATATGTTATCAGACACATAAGCCTGAAAGCTGAACTTCTCTTATTTGTTCCCTTTTGGTCTGCTAAAAGTGTATGTAAAGGCAAAACTTTTTTTTCATTTTGAACAAAGTGGGGAAGAGTTAGGCTCTATTGCAAGGTTTTACTTCTGTTAATATATCCACACTGCACAGATGAACCCTCTATTTGTCCTGGTGACCACTATCACAGAGACAGATAGTGAAGGGAATATCAAACTCTCCAAAACAAAAGGAGAGAAAAATGAATTCTATTGGGGACACCAGTTTCAGTGACAACAGTCTAAAAAAATTGTCCTCACTTTGGGGAGATTTCCTCTCACTTCTTGTTGCTCCCCCAAGACAGGAAGTGAAGGGAAGTCTTCACAATGGGATACAGGCAGCTAAAGGATAATCTGGCAGTGGTTTATCCCTTTCTTATTCTATCCATAGACACAGAAAAAAAGTGTTGGCTATAAATACGCTTTAAATTGACCATTGGAAGTGTTTTGTTATATTTACCTGATAAGGGCAAAAAATATCTTGCTGATCTTGTCAGAAATGCTGAGCTGTTCTGTGCCATCTGGACTTTTCCAGTGTTCTTTTAAAGATTAGACTTTATGTTGTAGATATTGGTGTTGGTGCCACATGACCTATTTTAACTGGAGAATTGTAGGAACCTATTGCTGAGTGATCTTTTAGCCGTTTACCTGTGAATGACCTGCTATTTTGCCTTCCTTATGTCTCCTATAACCTGCAGTTTACCAAACAGGTGCAAAGTTGGAAGCAATAATGCAAAACAGGTTCCAGATGGCAAAGAACATGCATTTAATGCAGAATAATGCAAAACTGCACAAATATGGACAAGCAATCTCTCTGTACCTCAGTCAAGGTAACATGGCTATACAGCATAATCTCTTAGACATAGACTTCAGCAACAGAGAGTCTATTTCAGTAAATCAATTCAGAACACAAGCAGCTACTTGTGATTATCTTAACCACTTCCCGTCCAGCCCATGTATACAAACATCCAGACAGAAGCAATGCAGGGGTGGGTGGCTGTTTATTAATGTCCCTCCCCACTTCCCTGCTTGTGCGCGCTCCCTGGGAGCGCGCAACTCCACGATTCGGTGCCCGCTGTGTCCTCCGATCGTTGTACGCAACCTCTGTGTGAGGTTCCGATCATGTGATCACTGATTGGCCAATCAGTGATCACATGAATAGTAGTAAGCAAGATGTCACTTCTGACATCATTGCTTACTACTTGTGAAATCTGTGAATGATCACAGAGATCATATGGTACAAGGCTATTCACAGCAAGCTTACACAGTAATTCTCTATGGCTGCAAGAATGCAGCCAGAGAGAAGGATAAATCATTGCTTTTACAGCCTTTATGGGTGTAAAAGCAATCAGTGTAAAATAGAAAAAAAAAAACTTCATCACCCCCCACAAGTAGTACAGTGTCACTATGGTGACACTATACTGCTAGGGTGACAGTATGTTAAAAAAAAATATATGTATAAAAAAAAATAAAATTAAATGTAAAAAAAATAATTGTTGGTTATAAACTAATTTGTTTTTTTTTTTGTTTCACTAAAAAGATAACTGAATACATGTTGGCCAAGATTTATGAAGAAAGATTATTTAATTGCAAAAGTTTATAAGAAAAACACTTTTTTCAAATTGTATGGACTTTTAAGTGTGTGTTCTGTTAGTGGATCCTGCTCAGATGCTCACACACTGTAGTTAACAGGAGACATTTTATTAGGTGCTTCTAGCTGCCATTATACATGTGTCTGCCCTAGAACTACAACCAAAGAGAGGCAATCACACAGTTGTACCAGTATCTAAGTAGTGAGACCCCTAGAGGCCATACACAGCATATAACATATTGCTACATCCTTTCTCTTTTAAATAAAAGAACAATGAAATATAACAAACACAAAATGGTGAAGTAGAACATAGCTATAAATTAGATATAATCCTTGAGGTGAGCCGGCTTTCTGATTGTTCTGCCAGCTCGCGTAACATATGAGGTTTCTTCTGATTCTGGCAGTCTATTTTCTGGGACTGTCTCTCTCTGCCTAGAGACCTCCCTATGCTCCTCAGCAGTTCCTGTTTCTTTGTTGCTGGTATTCATAGTCTCATCGCTTTGAGTGTCCATATACTGTTCCCAGGGCCCTGTATCATCTCCTTCTTGTGTTTTTCTCAGATGTCTCCGATTTCTCCTCCATCTTCTTCCTTCCTCTGTTATAATTTCATAGGACCGTGGTCCCAATTTCTGTACAACCTTCGCTTTTTTCCAGTGTTTGTCATATTTCCCTATTGGCTGAATCCGTACATTGTCATTGCTCTGGAGAACAGGCAGATCTTTTGCAGATTTATTATAATAGAAAGCTTGCCTATCTTGATTCTTCGTTAGTTTGGCTTTAACATTGCCCACAAGCTTTGGCTTTAGTAGTTGACCTGCAGTTGGTAGGAGAGTCCTTGTACGTCTACTCATAAGCCGCTGTGCTGGACTGGTGTCTAGGCCTTGTGTGGGTGTGTTTCTGTGGTCCAGTATAGACAGGTATATCTCTGTACCTGCCTGTTTTGCCTTTTGCATGAGTCTTTTGGCTGTTTTTACTGCTGACTCGGCTTTACCATTACTCTGCGGATATCCAGGAGATGATGTCTGGTGCTCAAATTCCCACCTCTCCCTGAATTTTTTGAATTCTTCCGATGTAAATTGAGCGGCGTTGTCAGAGAACACAATATCCGGAATGCCATATCTGGCAAAATGGGCCTTGAGTTTTTTAATTACTGTTTTGGCCCTTGTGTCCTGTAAGTAGTCTATCTCCCAGAAGTTTGAAAAATAGTCCACAGTTACCAGATATTCCTTGTCGTTCCACGTGAACAGATCTGTTCCTACTTTTGACCATGGTCTGTTTGGAATTGTATGTGGTTGCAATGTCTCTTTCGGTTGCTTATCATTGCACGATGCACATATTTCACACTGTGCTATAAAGTTTTTTATGTGGTCATTCATTCCAGGCCAATAAACATATTCTCGTGCACGACGTAGACATCCTTCTACACCTAAGTGAGTCGAGTGCAATCTTTCTATAATGTCTCTTCTAAGTGATTGTGGTATGACAGCTCTTTCTCCTTTAAAGATGATTCCATGCTGCACAGAGAGTTCATCTCTTATGTGAAAAAATGGAGAAACCTCCATTGGAGCATGCTGCTTGTGTTTTGGCCATCCCTTCAAGATGACAGTCGATAGGATCTGTAGAGTTTTATCTTCCGCTGTGCAGGTCTGTATTTGTTTCAGTCTGTCTTTTGAGACAGACAGATATTCACACATATTGATGCTTTCAATGTCTTTTTCTTCTTCATTTGTGATGGGTAAGTAAGCTCTGCTTAGGGCATCTGCAATCAGTAAATCCTTCCCTGGACAGTAACAAATGTTAAAATCATATTTCTGAAGCCTTAACAGCATACGCTGCAGTCTTTTTGGGGCATTCAGTAGTGGCTTCTTTGTAATACTTTCTAAAGGCTTGTGATCTGAATGCACCACCACTTGTCGACCGTAGGTGTACTGGTGAAATTTCTCTAACCCAAATACTACCGCTAGTAGTTCCTTCTCGATTTGAGCATATCCTTGCTCTGTTAGAGTTAACGCTCTGCTTGCATATGTGATTGGCTGTTTATCCTGCATTAGTGTGGCTCCAAGGCCGGTTTCTGAGGCATCACATTGTACTACCACTGCTTGATCTGGATCAAAATATTTTAGCGTTGCTGCGTCTGCAATAGCATTTTTCACTGACTGAAAAGCAGTTTCATGGCTTTCTGTCCATTCCCAGAGTACGTCTTTGTGAGTTAGCTGTCTCAGTGGCTCACACATGTCTGATAAATGCTTGCAAAATTTGGAAAGATAATTCACCATGCCCAGGAATCGTTGTACTCCACGTATATCTGTAGGTGTCGGCATGTCCTGTATCGCCCTCACCTTCTCTGGATCGACTTTAACACCATTTGAGGTAAGAAGATGTCCAATATATGGTACTTCTGTCATTTTTAGTTTGAATTTTTCCAGGTTCAGTTTGATTTGTTTTTTTCTACATCTGTCTAAGAATTGTATCATCTTTTTATCGTGATCCTTTGTTGCGGATTCTAGAGATCATCACCTTCCCCAACTATTAGTATATCGTCTGCTATTATTTTTACTCCAGACAGTCCTTCCAAAGCTTGCATCAATTTTTGTTGGAACACTTCTGGAGCTGGGCTTACTCCCATTGGCATTCTAAGCCACTTATAGCGTCCAAATGGGGAAGAAAATGCTGTTAATAAACTTGATTCTTTATCCAGTTCCACGTGCCAGAACCCATTTTTCACATCACATACCGAAAATATTTTAGCCTTTGATAGATCTGGTAGAATATCTTCTATTGTTGGCATTGGATAGTGATTTCTTTTAAGGGCCTTGTTCAGTGGCTTAGGATCAATGCATATTCTTAACTTGCCTGATGGTTTTTTCACTATCACCAAACTGCTTATCCAGTCTGTGCTTTCCTGTACTGGTGCTATCATACCTCTGCTGTGCAAATCCTGCAGTTCCTCTTTAAGCGGTTGCATTAAGGCTACAGGTACTCTTCTTGTAGGCAGTCTGGTAGGCTGTATTGTGTGATCAATTTCTAGTTTGTATTTACCTTCCAGGCACCCATCACCTTCAAATAAATCAGCATACTCTGTTTTTATGTGGTGAAAATCCAAAATGTATTCTGCCTTTTGTGTAGGATTTTGAGTATTGTCAGAAACTTCCAGAGCCATGATGTTATGGGACTGCACCTTTATTAAGTCCATAGCCTGAACTGCTTTAACTCCCAGCAAAGGAATGTGATCGTCCTCCTGCAACACAGTAAACTCCACTCTGTAGCTCTTTCTGTTACGTGGATTTCTTAATTTTAGCTTGCATGTTCCCATGGGTTTCAGAACACTTTTGTTGTACATGACCAGTACCTTATCAGTGGGCTCAATGGGAACCTGTTTGTTAAGCAGAGTAAATGGAATGACATTGCAACTTGCTCCACAATCCAGCTGAAATCTTATGGGCTGTTCATCCACCATAAATATGGCAAAGAGCTGCTTTGCATCATTGGCTACTGGCTGTTTGACTACATTGACGTTCTCTGTTGCAGACTGCAGCTGCAGCCATGTGATGCCCTCTGTGCTGTCCTCGTCTGTGTCCTGGGTCACTGTGTGGACTTGTCTGTACTGTTTGCTGGTTTTGAATCTGCACACAGCTGAAAAGTGGTTCATCTTGCCACAAGTCCTGCAGGACTCCCCATACGCTGGACATTTCTCTTTGTCTCTTTCATGTCTTTTGCCACAGTATTTACACTGGACTGAGCTCACAGGGAGCCTGGACCTTGCTCTGCCTTTCACAGATACTGCATGTACTGAGGCATCACTGGTGCCCTCCATCATCTTCAGCCTGTCTTTAGTCAGCTCTGCAGCCCTGCAGATTTGTATACATTTCTCCAGCGCCAGCTCTTCCTCCCTCAGTAATCTTTCTCTGAGGTGAGAGTCTCTGATGCCACACACTATCCTGTCTCGGATAAGGGAGTCCCTGATGTCCCCAAATCCACAGGTTGCAGCCAGTCTCCTCAGCTCTGTCACATATCTGTCCACACTGTCCCCAATCTCCTGATTCCTTGAGAAGAACTTGTATCTCTCCACTGTCTCATTCTTTTTGGGGTCACAGTGCTTATCAAATGCTTGCAGTATGTCTGTCAGTGCCATGCTGTCTGTGAGCAGGGTCTCGGCTAGTTCTCTGCCTTTTTCCCCAATCAAGTAATAAAACAGCTTTACTTCCCTCTGCTCATCTCTGGGTGCCACTGTCAGGTCCACATACAGAGTAAACTCTTCCTTCCAGTGTCTCCATGTCTGTGAGAGATTGGAAGAAGTGACATCCAGTCTCTGAGGGGGTTTCAGGCCACTCTCCATAGTGCAGTCTGATAGGGACTCTGTACTTACAGTTGCTGATTCTCTGTACAGTTCCAGTGTCACACAATCTGTATTTGTAGACAGAAGACTTGCTATTCAGAGGTTCAGTGCCCAGCTGCCACCATGTTCTGTTAGTGGATCCTGCTCAGATGCTCACACACTGTAGTTAACAGGAGACATTTTATTAGGTGCTTCTAGCTGCCATTATACATGTGTCTGCCCTAGAA